CGGGCAGAGCTCTGGCAGCTCTGGCCGCTCCGGGTCGCCGCAGTGGTGTTGCCCGCCATCGGTGCGACGACAGCCGCCCAACTCCGGGCCGCTATTGGGCTTGTCTCGTGATTGATCAGTCTCTTGAGGGTTTGAATGACATAGGCAGTGGCTTCTTTCGCGATCTGCTTTCTAGAACCGTCAAAGCTGGCGACAACGCTGTCGACGGACCGTGCAATGGTCAGAAAGACGTCTTTCCGTGCCTCGTACTGTCTAGCTTCTTCTGCAAGGGCTGTCAAGACGGACCCTGTGGCAGATCCGCTCGGAGCAGATGCGGTAGAGGCTGCGGGCCCCTCGGCCGAGGTAGGGGCGTCGGTGGTGGCATCAAGCTGGCTTCCCGTTAGGCTGGGCCGGGTCGGCTGTGCCTCGGCGTCGCGGCGTCGCTTAGCTCTTGAGGTGGGGTTCGGCTCCGGAGGTGTCCCGGAGCCTGGTTCGGGGTCGGCTTGGTCGGCCGACATCAGTCCGGTGCCCGACGGCGGCTGTGAGGCCATCGCGGATGCGGGCTCCGGCAAGGGGAGGTGAAGAGTTTTCGGCTGTTAGTAATTTGGTGGTAGGCTCACTCATTCACTAACAGCAGATGCCAAGAAAAATTAGGCGAGAGGGAAGTTGTTTGGAGTTATAGATCCCATTTCTTGTGTAATGGAGGTCGAAGACAAGAGACCTGGTTGCCAACCACCCGGCCCATCCACAATCAACGGGGATGAGGACCTCGACCCCGAGGATACCTCTGTCATCTTTGAAGAACTCAAGATATGCAAGGGATTCTGAGAGACAGCACCGAATCACGTCTGTTCGGGGATGCACCCTACTTATATGCTCAGGATCTGGTGGGGCTGGCGTTGCTTGGATGGCTGGTCTGGCTAGGTCAGGGAGGGTCGATTCTTGGTATCACCACGTTGCCAGCAACTGCGGGTACGCATGAAGCTCGCTAGAGGAGAAAATCAAAGGGGATTAGCGCCGTCAGATCAGGAGACGCTTCGGAAATTGAAAAACCTACATAGATGCCACATGGACTCGGGACAAACCTAGGCTGCCGCTTGTAAGATACTGAGTAACAACGGTACATGTAAGGGGAAGGAAATCAGGATGAGTGAACGGAAGCGAAGTGAGCCCAGCTTGATCTATTGAATGCCTGGACCGACCGAGTCAACAACCGCAGCAGCTTTAGTGTGAGACCAGAAAATCCGTGACATATCAAGGATCTGGAGGAGAAAGTTGCAATGGGAATAAGCGTGACAGCATAACCGTATCTTCCTCGCCGTCCTCGCCGTATGGAGACAGGCGAAGGAAACCAGGTGCCTTCCAAGAGTGTGCCAGCTACGGCAGATCCGTCAAAGAGCCCCGTATGAGTAGAAGGGCCGTGTCTTCCCCGTTGGGTGTCTATCAAGCCTTTCCCACAAGTTGGAAATCCGATCGCAGGTTGTTCAGAGCGCGGCTTTCATTGGATTCCCTCACTCATCCAACTACCCAAAGACGACGCTACCTTAGGCTACGACGCAGACTGGTAGAAATGTTCGCCGTCTACGTCGTCGAACCCACAATCGATTTCATGAAGGCTGCTTCGCTAGCGGTCTCGTCTTCGCATCCAACAACGCGGCGTGCACTGTGCATACCATCGCGAACTGTAGCGTGGTAGACATTATGCTTCGCAGTGACCATAATCTCATTGAAACCCACATTTCACGCATCATGTGCCAATGATTTGCGAGGAGGCCGAAGGTAATCATTACAACGTACGCGGCGTGAAAGCGAATGAAGTTTTGCTTGGTGCGCTGTTGAAATTCTTTGACACTGGTAGGGAGGTTCAGACAGGCTGAGTCAATCAAATCAAACAGAGGACTACTTGCTGAATTTCCAAGTGTGCGACCGATGTAAGGCCAGTAGGTGTTTTTCAACGCAGAGAGAGCGACCTGAAGGGCTTCAACAGACATGATCTCAGACTGGCAGACTTGGGGAAAAAGACAAAAGTTGGGGATTGTGAGTTTCCAATTCTATGAGGAGATCCTACAATCTTAAATGTTGTCCAGCTGCGGCCTGAAGCGTCTCGATCCCTTTCAGCCCTACAGCAACTATTGTCTCTGTCACTTGAGCTTGCATTGGCTAGCTGTGGGAAGCTGCAATCGTCAATAGTGTGTGTTCATGCAAGTGGTCTTACAAACTCGCCTAGCTCGACAACACGGACGGCGAGTGTGATGGCCCGAGGAGCCTACGAAGACTGCCGTTTCATGGCGCAGAAAAGAAGCGAAGTCGAACCCAGTCTCGACGTACGCGGTAGCAACTGGTCATGGATGCACTGCGTGAGTGTTCAATTCATGTGGACTCAGGAAGCGGAGCTACAAATGAATCTCACAAGCTTTTGGCGATGCGGCCAAGTCTGCTTCTTGCAACCAGATCAAAGGAAACGCGGAGACAAAAGCAAGGCTAGAGAAGCTATAAAAGAAATTGGCTTACTTGTGAAGCGACTCTGGCGGCGTCTAGCACTATAGCAGATATCCCGGAGCCCGGGTTGACTCGAACATGCCGTCATACCAGTTCAGCTTATAATACCAAAGGTTTGGGAAAACTCCAATCTCAAAGGGAGATCTTCCGGGCACGAGGAGGTCCGATAATACTTCTCTCACCTTGACGCCATCCTCGGGCTGCGGGTGGAAGCCAGATTCACGCCTGAGTAGACGACGTGAAGTACGACGCGAGCAGCGCGCGATGGATCTTGCATACGGAAAGAGGTCTTCGCATCTCGTCAATATTCGCCAAACCACCACGTGGTGGAACTAATGCAAACATTTCCGGGAAGATAGTCGAGCCTCTTGTTTTTTCCGTGGGGTTTAGGTATGGTAACAGGAGTGTTAACGCGCGTTGGACGACTGGTCCAGCTTCCGTGACTCTAGAGCGTAGTACGCATCAATCCCATGGTGTTGTGGTCCGTCTTCTCGGGTTCATGAAACAGTGACTAGATAGCCTTAAATATTCCTATGGAAGGCTTTGAGTGCGTTTCCCTGTTTCAATCAGGTTAAACCGCAGATTCCACACCTGTGGTGCCTTCTCCTCAATTACTTTTACGTATTGACCACATGCCATCCTCGACATTGCAGCCTACATGGCGCGAACGGCGTCCCTCTCGCACTGCAGCGTGACAGACTGCTTCAGGCAACCAACTTGGATATCCACCTGACTCCACGTAACTCGCTCAAGCATCAGGTTTGGGCCATTGAATGCGCTTCCCGTTGCATTGCATCAGCCATTTGTAGGTGTAGCATGAATGTTCTTGAGTTACACGACAATCAGTACGCTTTGTCGTCCTGCGGCGTCTGTGTGTAGCACTCTGCGTAGCAGTACAGTACAGATGAAAGAGTAATAAGACATTATTTCCAAGACTTTTTCTGGTTACTGTTGGCTGACCTTATCCAGACGTCGGGCCTGCGGGGATTGAAGGCCTGCTGAGGTGATTTTCGGAAGGTACAAGCTCTGCATTGCGTCGGAAATCGAGTTGACTGTAACATCACCATTCTCTCTATTGTTCTCATAGCCCTTAACACCTCGGCGATCGTTTAACATCTCAAAGAGCCGGTTTGTGATTTGCCATGTAGCGGTGTGTTCACCGTGACGATCGGCGCCATGCGTCCAGCTTGTATCCCCGAAGCCAGAAAGAAGACTGCGGCAAGGCCGTGGCTGAAGGATTTCCATGGGTTCGTTGGATCAACGACAACGGGTTCGTATCTCCTCATAGGCTGGTCAGACAATCAGTAAAGCGTGCCCGCACCATGCTGCTCGTGTACCGAACAGTGCCGACGCTGGCTATACATAGCCGTGATGCACCCGGCCTCCTTCAAGGCCGACACGCCCATAACGGACAATGACAATGTCCCACGGAAACGTAGTGGATCTAGTCCAGGAACTCAGCCCGGTCATCGTTAGCTTTTGCGGGCGAGCCAAGTAGCGCTTTGGCAGGAAGCTCGACGTTTTTGAATGTCGTGATAAAATGGTCCAACAGTTTCATGCTGAGCCAGACCGGCAGGGCTCGCGACACGCCGACACGATTCCGGGGCGCATTCGGGTCGAGTCGTTGATAGAAACGATGAAGGGCTTGACGCTCTAGCTCTCGCCCTTGACCAGGAGACGCGCAAAAACCACTACTACACGAGGGATCCCTGCCAAAGGGGTGGTTGGTAGCATCATAAACTACCTTGCGATTGAAGGTGACGTACTATCGAAGTCAAGACGCCAGAAATTGGGTGAGAGGTGGAGGGTGTCGTGGACCGTCAAACCTATGGCTGATTATACGACATCGGTTTGCATCGTTCCCTCTGTGTGCTCACGACTTCTCCGACAGAGGCCTCTCGCTCGCTCATAGTAGAGCTGAATGGTATCCTCCGTGACTTCGTGCCGCGATTCGCCTGCTGCGTTCCACAAATCGCATCGGTTGTCGAAAGGTGTTGATAACATCTCGTAAGTTGTTGGACGATAGGATTGGAGATGTCGGTGCCAGGAGGACGATAAGCCTATACGGGGCGTCGCTCCGATACTCTACGCTTCTGCTTACGTGTGTGAGAAAACTCTTGACTTTCAATTCACGCGTTTGTTGCCATAGGTGGTGTATATAGACAGTAACATTCTGTTCTTCCTTCGGGTCCGGCGCCGCGGCACGGCCTTCCTTACAGCCTTGGGCCACTCCGCGGCGTCTTTCGGCGACGAATTCGAAAGTAGGTTGCGCTAAAAGAATTTGTGTTGACCAGCTTGAATGTTTTTACGTTCGGGACGTCGAACTTCAATTTTGTCGTCCTAATTTACAGAAAAGAGTCTCGGTAGTAGCATCCCCTTTTTGCCACATATATAAGTAACTGGATAATGCTAGCATGGGATCTAGTCTGCTTCAATATCTCCTCCTAGAAGCTAGAGGCAGAATCTACACCGATCTAAACACTATCGCACTGAAACCCATTAATACATAGGTTCCAGGCCATCTACGGAGTCATATCCGCTTAGTCATCGGCAACATGTACGATCAGCAAGACCATGAGCCACAATATCCACTAGCACCTGCGTGGAGGTGTACAGCTACCAGCTTTGCTCTATTGACTATCTCTGACTATGATGTGATACTTCTAAGAAGATCATTCACCGTACTCATTTTGTATCCAGCGCTACGCACTGCTTCCGCATGGGAAATCTCGACGTCTGATTCGAACAATGAGTGCATTCTCTGAAGAAAATACTGTGTTATCAGGGAGTTTGGGCTGGACTTTCCAAGAGTCCATGTCTGAGTCTTCTCCAGGTATGTCCAGTGTGAGACCAAAAGCTCCTGATTGGGAAGTCGTCGAAGCGCCAATCTCATAGGATGGATCATCTTCTCCAGCAACGAGAGTCGTGTATCAGCGCTGCCATCAGTCATGATATCCTCAAAAGCGGTAAGCATTACCTCATTAGTATGATCCTCCACAGCGACAGGATCAAGATGTCGGGCCACACCGAGCAGTGCAAAGAAACTCCAGAAGAATTGCAAACCAGTTTGTGGACCGCGCAAATTCAGGTGAAGCTTCTCGCGGAACGCGGTTCCATCTGGGGATCTCAACCACGTGCAAAACCCGGATCTAAGCCTGCAGCCAACTCCCTCCACCACTAGCCCAGCTGATAGGCCCGCAACGTCGTCGGTCTGGTTCGGCTTATTGGAGCATGAGCTTGTTTGTTCCAGATAGGGTATCAGTATGGTGGTGTCACGGGGGCTCATTTGCGATATCAAAGAGCCAGGCAATCCTTCCTGCAAGAGTCAGCAACCGGCCCATCACGCGAGAAGTAAGTCATACTAGGATTCTTAATGGTAAAATATGAAGGTATCTCAGGTCCTCGACGCCTGGTATATCGTACGAAGCCTCGATAGCTGCAGTAGCAACGTCTATTCCGCCAAGGTCTAGATGTTCTTGGACGGTACCGCATAGTAGCAAGTTCATGGGATAAGGAACGGCTGAGTCGAAATGGTTGAACGATGCTTGATCCAAGTTGGCGCCGCCCACAGACTCCAGAATTATATGGAGAAGGGAGCAACAATGAAGCTCACTAAGGTCCTCATATAATGGAACAAGAGCTCTGTTCTGGAGCGACAGATAGACGTTCTTTTCAAGAATCGGTATGGCGATCATGCTACTATCGAGCAGTTTCCTGCATAACGCGAGGACTCCATAGAAGCGGCAGCGGGTGTCAAGTGAGGATCCCTGCTCACAGCCAGGATGAGCCGGCTCAAAGGAGTGTGCTTTCGGCTTTGGTGTCCTTACCCAGAGACGGTATGCTAGCATTGCCCACTTCATCGGCGTGGCTAAGCATTGTGAACGTCTTTCAAGAAACGATGTAAGCGCGGGAACCTGTTCGGTGGCAACACTCTGGAAAGTCCCGCGGATAAAACGAGCTCGGGCCAGCATCACTGCTCTGTCATGACCCAGCTCTAGACTGTCGGCAGGATGAGGTACGAAAAGCTCGTATTGCAGATTCATCTCAAAATGGACGTTCTTGAGAAGGAGAATTTGCAGTGACTCCGGTGGGGCAGCAACCTCCCAGTATTGGCGGTCAGCCGTCAGGCCAATGACAAAGAACCGTTCATGGGCGAGTGCATAGATGAGATCTTGAGCAGAGTTGAAATATAATTGAGGCACGTAGATAGGCACAAGAGCATGAGAAGCCATGTGTTCAATCTTCAACATTATCAGCTTGTTTTCGAATTTCGCAGCATCCTCGATACATGCTGATATGACGCTCCTAGGCGAATTATTTATGTGAAGTTGTTGTAACAAGCCTAGCAAAGGACCTGCGTCAGTCTGATGACCAGTTCGCTGAACACCAAGGTATTGATCACTTACGAAACATGAAAAAGAAAACGCACCGAAAACAAAGCCAGGCGTGGAAGAGAAGATCAACTAGTGGCCGGACCCCTTCTACCCATTTCTCAACCTATTCACCCTCAAAGGGATCCTTTTTGGGTGTACGTCCAGGGACGAGGGTACCGGAAGGGGGGTTCGAACGGCTAGCGCCCTGCAGTGCTCAAGCAGCTAAAGTACTGACGCCCAAGCAACTCCGTTGTCAGAAATATTCGGGGTCATCACTGGCAGCGCGCAGATTACCTGCAGCTACCAGAGAGCGCTGCCCCTTCAATAGTCAAGGCACGCCTGCGTGGTTGTATCCGGCCGGTCGCCCCCAGATGAGACCGCTGCAGCCGGAATCCCTACGTCTCTGCATGGAGGCCACAGCTTGCAGGTCAACGGGGGAGACGTGGCTTGTACACAACTTGAAGAGGCACACAGGCGTGACTCTGTTCGCAAGACGAAGTCTGCTGCGGCCCACCTTGCTCCTGTTCCGTGCACCACCGACAAGGATGGAAAGAGCACACCCCAGGATCTTTGGGACGAATTGAAGTGCAGGGGCGCAGGCACACGTCTCCCTGGTCCTGAAGCTAGCTACAAGCATGGGCAGGTACTCCGTACTGCATGGATACTTCACCCAACTGGAGGGGGCGTGTCTGAGTTACATTTTTATCATAGAAGTGACTTTGATTCGTGTCGTAGCCAACCTGGCGTGCCCCGCCTTCCCCTCTGATCCCACGCCCCGCTCGATGTTCAGCCTCCATGGATGATGAACAGCCTTCCTCAAGGAATTCGGTCCTTCACCTGGAGTTGTCGTGTGATTCTCGCTTTGCCGTGTAGAGTAAAGCAGGAGAGTCGGGGTCAGGATGGCTCAAAGGGTGGTTGGCGTTTGTAAGATGAAGAAGGAGCATCGGGCTATGACCTGATTGCCGCGGGTACAAAAACTATGCATTAGATACTGTTCTCATTGGCGGAGGCTGTGAAGCTGGGAAATTCCCTGGGATGTCCTGCTCATATACTGCTCAATCGTGCCCTTTCCCAACGCAGTGTCACCTTCGTGGCTACATGTCAAAGATACTCAACTTTTCCATTACCTCTTGGGGGAACCGAGCCCCCCTTTTCAAGCTGTCACCAAATGCACTTTAGCACCTTGTGTCCAGAAGAAAGCGAACACCTAGCAAGTCGACACATAGGTTACTATTTCCATCTGTGCTCAATTACATAACAAAGGAGCTTTGCGACAATGCTCAAAATGAATTTAAGATTTTCTCAATGTTTTCTACAGTTGAAGTCTTGTCATCTTGAATAGTCATCAACATAGCATAAATAGTAAAAGGTTGGGAGGAAGATAGTAACGAGGTGTTGCTCTGTCTACAGTGTTGGCTTTTTCCTGGTCATAGGGAGCCTAGCAACTCGCACAAGAACTGTGAGTGCGCGCCCGCTCCGCCCTCATCTATTACCGACCACCGGCACTGGGTCATGTAGACGGCCCAGTCTCACGATGTGTTCCGGATCCCGGAGGTCAACTGTATCGAAAAACCTCACGGTCCGATGAGCTGGTTCTGAAAGATCGAAAACCCTGGATCACTGCATCCTGTCGTTTGGTGGGACATGAGTGATCGGCGCCGTGCGGACTCACAGATGCAAGGCAGGCATTCTCATCGTGTGTCCCGAGCTGAGTATTACAGGCCGACGAAGCTATGCAAAGAGGGGCGGAAGTTCATCACCGTAATGAATCACACGCGATTGCCAGCAAGGGGACCTGGCCTAGCCATTTCTTACATCAATAAATACTGATTCGAAATCGACTCGGAGTATCGTGATTGTTGACATGGCGATTCTTCCAAACACCTGGAAGGCTGGTTCTCCTGGACATGGTTCTTTCCTAAATGTGCTCCAAGCAGGATGAAAACCGTCAGCTATGGCAATCAGGGCCGGTCACAGCTAACCCATAACACTGTCCGGCTGCCGGCGGAAACAGACCTCATCCAGGACACGGGGCCAATTCGACTCACAGCATGCTCGGACGCAGTCGGCAAGCGGCCCCTTCGATTAATAGACAAGAGTCAGACATGGGAATAGATTGATGTAGCCGAATTCGGAATCTATTCATCTAGGAAGCAACTGCCGCAAGCTCTTAAGTGTGCTCGAACCAGCTGGAAGTCAGGTGATCCGTCCGCTGGGTCACATGAACCGGCTATGAAATGGTCACCATCCTAGCTTCAACGGCTTTGGGTCTCGAATCTCAGACATTGAATCCTTTAACTACCTCGAAATGGATTACGGACCCTTGAACGGATCTGTAGAACGGACTATCCCAGCTTACCTGGTTGATTAGTACAAACCAGGGATGGGGCTCCCCAGGTCCATCGCTTTCAACGAGAGATCCTCCATCACTTAGTGGTCTTAGGGCTGAGACGCCCTTGGTGGGACAGTCGGCATTTCTTGTTGGAAAACCACCACTGAAGGTCGTCGCGCCACTCCACCTCAAACCAAGTTTCGCAAGCTGGTACGACTGGTTGTTCTTTGGCCAAGATGGCGCTCCCTATGCAAGGCCCGTCGCCAGTCAACCAGAACCCTAACCACAGCGTAGAAGTCGGGTCGACAGTCATAGCTCTTTGTAAGCAGTCAAGTCTGATTTGACCGACACAAGCTGAGGTTCCGTCGGCATAGCGAAGGAGAAGTCCAATAATGATTGGTTTGCCCATGCGTTGGCGATTGCACGGGACAATCTCAACCACGTGCTTAAGCCTGGCTCTGTTCCAGGCGTAATACTCGTCATGACGAGAGAGAGGATATGGGGTGGGCCACTCGACTGCTGGTCTCCGACCTCGATATCTAGGTCGAGGTGATTGGAATCCTAGTCTTCGCACGCCACAAGTCGTCGTCTCAGCGTAAATGTGACTTGTGGCCTTGCCAGGCAGGTCAAGAAGTGTCCACTTAGATCGGCCCCAGTTTGGCCGTGGCTGCACTCCTAGAAAGGTGGAACGTCCTTGATCCGTTACGAGCTGTGCATTGTGAGCAGACTTCAACATGGAACATGAACGGATCACTACATACTAGTAAGCCAATTGCAGTCCTTAGCTCGCCCTCGAATTTCCAAATTTGCGTCAGTACTTCGCCTTCGTGAAGTGGCATGTAAAGCCACATCGCAGCTTCATCCATTGTCCGTAAGGCCTGATAAAAGTCGAGACTCTCTCCGACACGGTGCGCATGGAGCATCAGAATCTCCCAATTCCAACAAAGTGAGTACGCTGTGGTCTGTGGATCGTTACAGGACACTACGGACATGTAATTACTTGGTTCTGCACCACAAATGTCTTCGAATCGGCTGCACACGGACGAGAGATGCGGGAGGCCCCAGTACATTTCTTGCAAGACTATTGTGTCGTCGACGACAAGCTCACGCAGTTTCAAACCCTGAAAGCTCTGAATTAGCACGCTCGACTAGAATCGCTACAGTACACTAAAGCTCACATCACTGCGGATCCGAATGAGGCCACCAACGTCTTCCAGTTTCACGGCTTTCCACCATATGCCAATTTCTTGTTCAATCGCGCATGGTTTCGATGAGTCAGCGAACAGCAAGCGCCGGATACCGAGGTGATCGCTCGCAATGTACAAGCTGTCGATGAATGTTGAGAGACTTGGGTCAAACAAGAGGAAATCCTGGTTACCACCGGGCGTGTTTCTCAGATGGCCGATGTACTGAACACCTTCGAATTCGACGTGCCTAGCATAGATCTTCTCCGAAAGCTGGACAGAAGCGTTGCTCTCGGTCTTGGCACATGTTTGGTTGGCAAAGTAGACGGCCAAGTGGTGACAAGTCGATCGATCGTCAAGAGCCCAGGCTGCGATGTTAGAAAGGACTTCTCTGGGCAAACTTAAGATGTGGCGACTAGCTGTTCGAATGACATCAGCTAGATAGAACTCAAACCAGCAAATACGCCGTTGATCCGCAATTGCTGGAGGCTCGAATGCATGTGCTGCAGCATCAAGAATATTTGTGAATGTTTCCGGAGACGTAACTTCGATGCAGATAACATGGCACCCAATCCGTTGCTCATCATGGTCGCATCGTCCACGACACTGGACATAATCGACATTCAGATTGCTATCGATAAAACCACCAATGCTATACTTGTACGATGGAGACATGTCCCTATCGGATCGCCGTACTAAGGGAGTCAGAGGACTGGGACTGAAAAGGGTTGTGGAAGACTTGCCTGCCACTATGTCATCTCCAAGCTGGAGTTCAAAGCGGCAAAGTCCGCAGAGCCGTGGTACACAGATAGATCTCGTCATGGTGTTGACTGGCTAACGATGAACGCTTGATTGAGGTAAAAGAGCTCGTATGGGAAGATTTGTTCAATACGGAGTCAGCTGGTGGCTTGACTATAAGCCTCTTCAAAATGTTTTGCCGGGTCGGCTGACAGAGCCTAGGATACATACTCCCGCTTGGGTGAAACTCACCGTATACGGTCATCACTCGGTTAATTGCATAGTCGAGCCAGCATTGCTCTACAAGGGATGGTTTCCACTCGTTTAGATAGATCTACTGCAGGCCTAGCGGGTACTCTAAGCAGTACGACCATACTTATCCCCCTTGCCCGAACATTGCTCTTCTGGTACTACTGCATTGTTTCGGGGCTTAGGCGTCCCTGGTGGGATAGTTGACATTGTCTTTTAGAATACCACCACTCCAGGTCACCGCGCCAATCCACCCGAAACCAGTTTTCGCCTTTCGATAGCGATGGTGCTTCCCGTGACTGCTCGATACCAGATACGATAGGCCCATCGCTCGTTAGAGAGAATTCGAACCACATCTTACAATCACGATCAACGCAAATAGGGTTTTGCAGTTGATCTAGCCTTATTTGTCCGACACATGCTTGCTGTCCGTCAATATAACGAAGTAGAAGCCCGCTGATGGTTTTACTTCCTTGCCGGTAGCGTCGACATGGAATGATATCCACGACGTCGTCGAGCTTCGCACTGGTCCAAGCGAAGTATTCATGGCGGCGGGACTTTGGATATGACGAGGTTGGCCACCCAACTCTAGGGCTTGGATTATGATCATCAGGCTTGGGTGACTCGAAGCCCAGTAAACTACCCAGTGCCGTTTTCATCAGATATATCGTGCTAGGGCTTTTGGTGGGCCGGTCAAGCAGAGTCCATTTCGAGCGGCTCCAGCCTTGCTGTGGCTGCACCCCTAAATAACTCGAGCGCTCCCGATTTGTGACCAACTCCACGATGTCAGGAATTCGTCATCATGCAATATTAACATCGTAGGCCGAGACGTACCAACAAAGCGATTGCGCTGCGAAGAGAACCATCACACTTCCAGATTTCCGTCACCACTTCACCCACGCGAAGTGGCATATAGAACCATAGAGCAGATTCGTCCATGGTTCTCAGCTCATGATAACAGTCGAAATTCTCGCCGGCAGTGTGTGCGTGCAGTGTCAAAATACTTTGGTTCCAGCAAAGCGAATAGGCCGTGGTAGTAGGATGATTGCATGGCACTACCGACATGCGATAGGTTAATTCGGCGTTGCAAAGGGGTTCTAGGCGAACGTGTTTATACACTGCTTGAGGTAAGCCCCAGGCAACTTGTGGTAATTGCAAGCTCTCGCCTGCAAGTACACGCATTTTCGAGCCCTAGCCACCCAAGTTAGATACTGTCAAGAATTTCCTTATCCCGAATGCTTGCGCACATCGCCTCGGGTTCGAATGAACCTGCCCAGACTGCCAAGGCATATTGTTTTCCACCAGACATCCGGCTCTTGGATGATCGCAGGTTTGCTTGACGAATTGACAAATAACAACTGTCGAATGCCAAGGTGATCACTAGAAACGTACAACCTTGCAGCTGGTGTCTGCGACAGTGGATCAAACACCAGTATATCTCTATTGTTGGTGGCTGCATTTGTCAATCGCGCAATGTATCGGGTGCCCTCGAAGTATGCGTATCGAACATATATTTTCTTTGAAAGGGCGACTTGTGATACGTTTCTCGCAAACTCACCGCACTTTCTCTCGGCATACCAAACGGCCATTCGACGGCTGGTCTGTTGATCAAGAGCCCGAACTGCGATGTCGCTGCAGACTTCCAAAGGAAGGCGGGAGTGCGTCGCCCTTCTGATTATCGAGGCGAGCCAGGACCGTAACCAGCGGGAACGCTGGCAGTTCGCTATATGTGATGGTTCGAAGTCGGGTGCAGTCACTTCGTAGGTCTGCGAAAAGGTCTCAATGGATATTGAACTGTAGCAGTCAAGGTGACAGCCAATCCTCTTCTCGTCGTGCTGGCATCTCCCGCGACACTGAACATACTCAATTTCTTGAGAGCTGTCGAGGAAGCCTACTACACTGTATGAGTACGGCTGAGATCGCTCAGCGCCGTCTCTCCGCACTAGATCCATTAGAACTATGATACAGAAGATAAAAGAGCTACCTTACCGGCGACGATTGTGTCGCCTAGGGCGATCTGGCATCGACAAAGGCCACAGGATTGCGGAACACAGACAGACTTCATTGGGGTCTTGAGGCGTGTATACGCTGATGAGTTGTGCAAAATGAGAACAGGGATTCAGCAGAATGTGGGACACCTCGTTGTCTTCATGACCGTCGCGGATTTTCTGCCGGTCCGAAGACGTCATGCATGCATGTAAAGCCGGATCGGGGTCACCCGACAGATACTCCACTTTTCCTTACTCCTCTTTTCCTTTCCCTTCCTTTCCCTTCCTTTCCCTTCCTTTCCCTTCCTTTTCCTTCCTTTCCCTTCCTTTCCCTTCCTTTCCCTTCCTTTCTTCCTCAAAGTCGTCCGTCGCTAATTGCACAGGCATGGAACCTTCCACGTCTGCGACACAACTTTCGGCCCAGCTCCTCACGTCTTTGAGCGACCAGCTAAGCAAATTGACCCGAGAATTGTCCCCCAAACAAGAAAACAATCTTCAAAAGAATCTCAATTTGTTACAGCTTCAGACCGTTTTCAAGAACTCTGTCGACAAGACAAGGTACCACAAGAGGCGCACAACACTGCTCGACATCTACAAGACGCATGGCTTCAATGGTCTGTTCTTATGTGCTTTTGGATTAGCTCCAACCACATTCGCCAAGTCAGATGGCCCATCGTTTGTCGCTGGATTCAACACTTGGTGGGGTCAGACCTGTCCACCCACCGATTTTGACAGCCTCATTGCAGAGCTGAAGGAAAAGCACCAGCATACAATCAGGGCCTTTTTGCCGTCGGGTAAGTGCTTCCACCTTGTTCATCGCGGCTACGACTGACTTGAGCCATGACGTAGCTGATCACACCGCTGATGAGGGCTGCGAATCAACGCACAGCTCAAATCAGCCATCGACCCATGCGCCAACCCATCGATCAGCCGATGACAGTACCCATACTGCAGTTGTTGAGTCGAATCACGAACAAATTCACAACGTCGGTGTTACGGTCCCGGCATCGCAATACATTACCGCTGCAGGGTCTGATAGCCGTGCCGCAAGCAAGCTCGCTGACATCCGTGATGAAGCTGCGATTAGCGGTCGCAAGCGAAGTCACGGCCAAGCCTTCCAAAACGCAGACCACGATCACGATATTGCTAAGGAGATCGACCACGATTTTTTGTACCCACCCGTAGAAGGTGTGTCATTTTGAATTGCATGGCCCGTCAGTCTCTAACATTCCGCAGGGCCCATGGGTGGACTCGTCTATAAATTGGAGCCCATGGACGGCATAAAAATCATTGCGAACGGCGACATAGACATTTTTTTGACCATGCCATTTAGTAGTGCAGCCCCATTTGTCACTGTGAGGATCTCGGCCGGCGTTGCGAGAGATCTGATCACCAAGCGGCCAAACATTATGTATACAATTTCTGACCCATCATAGTCTACGTAGCTTTCCGCACGATTCCAATTTTGCACTTTCCAAAACAGGTGTATTTAAGATCCTTTCCTGGTAGTAGAATCACAGCGCGTCTCGTATTTTGAGCAGAATCCTTTGCCACAAACATCTCCACTTCTTGGTTCTGCGCATTAAAGGTACGCAGTTGCCCATTTGAGGAAACTACATCCAATACGATGGCAACGACATCTTCTCCTGTTGCGTCGATGTCTTGGTTTTGAAGTTCGCACCATTCGGGCGGCTGGCAGGGGCTCCCGACCTGATTGAAACTGATAAGCAGCAAGGAGAATTGGTCTTCTTCGGTACTTACCTCTTTCTCGCATAATGTGACGATATTCTCAAGTGAGGTGTTGACATGGAGGGAGATTTCGCGTCTCATGGTACACTAGACCCAACTCGAAATTTGCGGAATGGATGACAGGGGTGCGATGTGAGTATTGAGGGATGTGAGATGTAGAAATTTACCAGACCGCCGAAAGTGGTTTTGAAGGAGAGGAAACATGCTCCAAAAGTGAATCCCCTATGTGGTAAGGCACGCCTGAAGGTGGATGTGGAGCTTTGGGCTTGAAACGCCCGGAAAGGGAAAGTGAAAGGAAAGTAAAGGAAACGGGGAGGAAGAGGAAAGCGGAAAGGAAAGCGGAAAGGAAAAGGAAAAAGGAAAGGGAAAGGGAAAGGGAAAGGGATTCAGAAATTCTCTATAAGTTACAGAGCAACCTCTGCTCAATCATCTTCCATAAGCCATCTGTTCACATTCATTCACCTTTGATTTATCTCTATTTGAAATGGCACACGCTTCGAAGCAGACAAATAGGCAATGGCTCTATTCCAACGTCTATTTGGATGACGCCGAACGCAACACGAACAATTTCTGGGCATCCGAGTTCCGGAAAATGTTTCCAGAAGCTAACGACGAATTCATAAACACCCAGGAAGAATCTCCAGATGGTGGAAGGCTGAAATTTGACAGGGTTGTTTGGGAAAACTCATCTTCCGGCCTGGTGAGAAAAGTGGTGGCGGGGGAGGACAAGAAGATAGGAGTCAGCAAGGGAGACATCGTTACAGCGGAAAACGACGTCGAGAAGAAAGCATTGCTTGCTATGGACAAGGATGGACTCGACGCTTTGTACTGCCACACAACTAGAGGAACGATGTTCCGAACCTGGATTATCCGGAATCCGACACGTCAACTCGAACCGCTTTTCGGCACCGACACACGAGGAGACATGGACCAGTACGTTGAATATCGGACTGTACCCGGACAATACCATTTGCATAGACTTGGAAGTCTGGTCAAAAACGAGCCAGAGCCTATACTAGACGATTTCAAATTCCTTTACGATTTGGGTGCGGGTATCGTGTGGGACCACAGGCATATGCAGATGCAACTTGATTTCGAGCACAGGCACTCGGACGCCATGGCAGCTCTACTTCCCCAACAAGAGGGATTTAATGCGGCATCCATCCCACAAGCTGCAGAGGGTCTCGAGCTGCCATCGGCGATGCAGGCTGATAACGAAGGTTTCGAGGAGGAAACCAGCGAAATGTCCGAAACGCCAACTTTTGGACAAGAACAAACCGATGACAGCTATCGTGGTCAAAGCTCCCAGACTCAGGAACAGACTCAAGTTCAAGCCTCAAGCAGTCTCGCGGTTTACCACGAGGTCCGACTTTCCGTCGAAAGGAAAAAGAAAGGGACTTACATCGTCTTCAATCACGGAGGAAGGTCATTCAGAACGACGGGGGATCAGTGGATGAGTGCTCGCGACGAGAACAACCGACAGTGTTACCAATGGTACAGCAACAGTGCCAAGCTATTCTTCAGAGCTTATCAGTGGCCTTGACCTTGATAGTTACTTCTAGGGGGGTATGTCTCAGTCGCATTTCTGTCTTTTCCTTCCATTTTCTGAGTTTCGATGGGGCTTGGGCGAGGCAAAGAGGCCGAGATTCAACACTCGGGTCTCCATGGTTACATGTGTCAGACCGCCCCAGCACATTCGCTACGGTAATTGTTTCACCTCGAGCGACCTGACTTATGCTTAGCCAGAGGTATGAGTAAGGCCAGCAAGGGTATCCTTATACAAGGGGGTCGTACACTCATTATATAGATATGGGGTTTTCTTTCCATAGCCATTCATTCGTCATACTCATGAATACACACACAATGACCCCTGCCTGTCTAACTGCTGCTCGATAGTTATGAGCCCAGTAGACTCGTACGGCCTCTGTGGACTCTGAATAGCTCCATAACTGCCACTATACTCCTGAACTATCCTCACATTAGCCAAGCAGGAACTAGTCATTCCACGAGTATCAAACCATCAACAGTGCTATTTCATCATGGCATCTCGACATTCTTCAATCCACCTTCAGGGACAAGGGGACTGGTCCAACTGGTATACCTTCATAAGGATGAACGCCAAGGCCAATGGAGTCTGGGATTTCTGTGATCCAGATAAGACAACCCAACCCATTGAGCCTATCCGACCAACTCTTCCAGATCAACCAACTGCCCAGCAGCTCTCAATATACGAAGCACAGAGCAGGATCTACCCTGAAGAACTGAAGCGTCACGAAAGACGGATTCATGCTCTTCAGAAGACAATGAGGGACATAACCACCACGGTCGAACCATCAATGCTATCATGGCTTGGTGAAGCAGACACACCACGGGAAATCTTAACGATCCTTAAGAAGAGGTATCAACGAACTCCTGAGGCCGAGAAGATCTTAGCGTATAAGAACTATCGAGATCACCTCATCCGAATCAAGCGGTCCAACACCACAGAATGGATCCAGACGTGTGAGACCTACCTCACAAAGGCTGTCAGACTTGGCTGCGAAGAGATGAGCGTTACACACCAACAAGTGACCCTTCTCACCACCTTGAAGACAGTCTACCCAGACTTCGCTGCTCCGCTGGCTAGAGAAACTACCAAGGAAGCAGTCGACAACGTTGACACAGAACATAGACTCTCTGGCATTACCATTCTTCATCAGTTCAGAGCCTGGCTTGAAGCTGGCTATGGTGAAGACCACACTACAAAAGGAGGAGCCTACGCGACGTGGCAGCAGAAGAACGAGGAGCAATCTTCTCGGACCTCTCCTGAGGCTGCTACTACCTCCATTAACACGTCGCCACCTAACAAAGTAAGGGGCACATCAAGACAAACAATCCCAACTTGTCATATTGATGGCAAGAAGCACTGGTATGTCGAATGTTGGTATCTGAATCCTCAAATCCTGCCAGTAGGACGCAAGCTTGACCCTACAAAGGAGGCTCAGGCTACAGCCTATCTCAATAAGAATCCCTGGCTAGTAGAAAAGATTAAGAGGCATAACGAAACCAATAACCTTTCAGTACAACAATCAACCCAGCCAACCACATCAACCGGAAAAGCTCACCACATACGAGCAATCACACCTTCAGACTCTGACACCGACTGGTCAGACTCCGTCTCCACACCAGAAGAGCCTAATGGCAGCTGTCAGCACGTTGCAGATGGAGAGGAAGTCAGGAACGCAGTTCTCGTCGATACTGGCGCTTCCGATCCTCTATCATGGGACAGATCACGATTCCGATATCTTCAGCCAGTCAATAAGGCATTTGATACACCCAACGGACCAATTCAAGCAGTCGCCAAGGGCTCTCTCATCGTCACAGCTTTCAGCCCTACCGACATAGCATCAGAGCTTGCTATTCCCAACGCATACCTGATTCCACAGGCATCTACGACTTTGATCAGTACTATCAAGCTAGAAGAACAAGATCTTTGGTTTTCAGCGAGAAAACGATGCTTCGAGGACGGTGACGGTAACTCTATATACAGAGTTTGGTCAACCAATTCACAGTATCACCTTGAACGCCCACAAGAGCAGTCTGGGAATTCCTTCTTCACGTCAAGCAAGGAACCAAGAGCTCAGAGCACTACAACGGGTCGTCTTTGGCATCAGAGATTAGGACACCCAAGCAAGGAGGCTCTACAGCATCTCAACAAGGCATGCACCGGTGCTGGCGTTGAGAATCCACACACCGACGATTGCGAGGCTTGCCACTTAGCAAGAGCAAAACGAATAGTCTCACGACGCTCTCCAACATACAAGACCACTTATCCTTATGAGAGGATAAATGTGGACTTCTTTTTGATGGAAGAAGCCTACAATGGTGCAAGGGTCAATATCATTGCCACCTGTGGTCACACCAAGCACAAGCTCACGAGAGCCCTAGCCCATCGACGTCTCCTAGGCCTCCAATTCATCAAGCAGTTGGTCAAGTTCCTCAACACTCAATACGGAATCATCGTCAGGTTTATTCGTTTAGATGGAGACGTGGCTCTTCAAACGAACATAGATACTTTTACTGCAGACGAAGGGATCATGCTAGAGCGAACAGCACCATACACATCTGCCCAGAATGGACAAGGGGAAAGGGCTGGAGGAGTCGTGTTTAACGATTCGAGAGCAATGCGGATCGAATCCAACTTTCCGCCAGACTTATGGCCGGAGATTACAGCAGCATCAGTATATGTTGGTAACCTGACTCCGCGAAGGAAGATACATTGGAAGACACCACAAGGCGTTCTCAACATGTGGCTCAATGCCAACAGAGGAATGGACAGGCTGGAGAAACCCTCAATTGTACACCTAAAGAGGTATGGATGCAGGGCCTACCCTCTGACAAAAGATTACCTCGCTAGCCGCCAGCGAACGGCCAAAATGCTACCAAGAGCGCACATTGGCTATCTATGTGGCTACGACAGTACCAACATCTATCGAATCTGGATCCCAGCCTTACAACAGGTATTCCGGACAAGAGATGTTGCATTTGACGAAACAATCGTCTACGACCCAGCGACAGAAGCTCCACCAAATGACTTGGAACACCTTAGAGCACAGGCTATCCAGCTAGATCTAGCTGATCTCAACCATGATATTGACCTCACGATCGAGGCAGTCATGAGTGATTCAGCCTATCTAGGGAGCAGTACGAACTCACCAATAGCATCAGCTTCGGAATCCCAACAAGCACGATGCGATAACTCGACAGACAGTTGTCCAGATCAACAACAACACAACTACGGATCTGATGGCTCTGATACCAGCTTGGATATCTCTGCAGCTGGGGGGGTGGAAGCCACAGAACCCACCACAGACTCAAGTTCTAAGTTCTATCCTTCGTCATCACCTAACGTTACTAGGGGAGGCCAGGAATCAGATCATTTTTCAGACAATCAAAATTCCCAAGAGGAGATTCTTGATACTATCATTGTCAGAGCTGACAGCGACACCTCACAAGATGAACAAGAAACTCAACAGGCAATCCAGGACGCTCAACCAGACAGTGATCCAGGCCAGTTGCCCAGGAGGGTGCTCGACACAGTAGAGGACTCCAACGAATTGCCCAGTTCAACGCCGGACGCCACTTCATCTGGGACATTCACCAACACTACCGGAAAACGACAACAATATGACACAACGCAAGGAGTTGATCTAGCGAACATTATCCAAGCCCCACTCGAAAACCTAGCAGAAAAGCAGAGTCGAGCAACGATAGCGTCTACCAGAAGGGATATATGGCATATATCACCACTAATGGGTCTGCATACCATTCTGCAAGCCTGAATCACAGCAACAAACGACATAAGAGAGATCTTCCTCCACCACCCAGGAACTGGAAGGAAGCTCAACGACACCCGTACTTTCCTGACTGGAAGAAAGCCTGTGAGAACGAGCTCCAGCACCACTGGAACATCAGTACATGGAAGAAGATCCAGTCTAGCAAGGTCAACACGGAGCAACACTTCATCATACCGTTGTTATGGGTATTCACATACAAATTCGACAAGCATGGGTACTTGCAAAAGTTCAAAGCAAGGATTTGCGTCCAAGGCAACCTTCAACCTCCTAGCGATCTAGATACATCAGCCTCAACACTCGCGTCAAGGACTTTCAGGACTATGATGGCACTCGGAGCCAGGTTCGGTCTGAGATTCTGGCAGAAAGATGCTGTCAACGCTTTCACAAACGCATGGCTAGATGAACTGGTCTATGTCCGCTATCCACCCGGTTTTGAGGAATATGGACAAGTTCTACTACTTCTTAGGGCTCTTTATGGCCTCAGAAGGTCACCCCTTCTCTGGCAACGCCACATCACAAAGACGATGAAAGAAATCGGTTTCACACAGCTTCAAGAGGATGAATGCGTCTTCATCAGAAACGGGATTCTCATCTTCGTCTTCGTGGACGACATTGTGATTGCATTCTTACCGAGCAAGGAGGAAGAGGCAAGAACACTCACTAACAAACTTCACTCTCATTATGAGCTGAGAGACATGGGAGATCTTCGATGGTTCCTAGGCATCAGGATCATTCGCGACCTCAACGCTAGAAAGATATGGCTCAGCCTTGACAGCTATATTGACTCGCTAGTCACTAAGTACAGGACCTGCCCTCAGGGTGGATGGCCTCAGACACCTATGGATCTTGAGCAGCTAGTCAAATACAACGGCCAAGCTTCCAAACAAACGATCAACGACTATCAGAGCAAAGTCGGCTCACTCAACTACGCCGCGGTGATTGGGAGACCAGACATTTCATACACCACATCGCGACTCTCTGAATACCTTCAGAACCCGGGCCCAGACCACATCGCAGCAGCAGACAGATGCCTAGCATATCTGGCTCGGACGAAAGGACTTGCAATCGAGTACGATGGATCGGCTGAAGGAAGACTTTACTGCTCTTCGGACGCAGCCTTCGCAGACGACCTCGACACTCGAAGGAGCAGTCAAGGGTATGTTACAATGCTGTTTGGAGGTCCTATCGACTGGAAAGCCACCAAACAGAAGTGTGTCGTCACCTCATCAACTGAAGCAGAGTTGATTGCTCTCACTCAGGCAACAAGAGAGTATATCGCTACGCTCAGGTTGATGAAGGAGTTAGAGATCCAACCGGACGGATTTCCAACCATACTCTGCGACAACCAACAAACTCTTCGTCTCCTAACTGCCGAGAAGCCTCATCGGGTCTCAAAGTTGAAGCATATCGATATTCAGAACCTGTGGGCAAGGCAAGTATGTCAGAAAGGAGAGATTAACTTCCGCTGGATGGATACCAACCACACCATTGCTGATGGGCTCACAAAGCCTCTCAACCGCGTTAAACACGGCGATTTCGTTCGTTCACTTCGTCTCGTTGACATCACTCACCTGCTGGGACAGGAAGAGGAGTGAAAGAGCAGACATAGCTTCAGGCAAAGCCTGAACCTAGGGGGGTGTGTCAGACCGCCCCAGCACATTCGCTACGGTAATTGTTTCACCTCGAGCGACCTGACTTATGCTTAGCCAGAGGTATGAGTAAGGCCAGCAAGGGTATCCTTATACAAGGGGGTCGTACACTCATTATATAGATATGGGGTTTTCTTTCCATAGCCATTCATTCGTCATACTCATGAATACACACACAATGACCCCTGCCTGTCTAACTGCTGCTCGATAACATGATATCGCTATGGGGCCGATACCCCCCAGCAACAGTTCTATCTGTCATCTCTTGTAGCTCCTACTATTATGTTATCAGCAGGCACATTGGGCTGGTCAGCTAGACCAATACACCTTTATATTCCATGAAATGCTCGATGACCCCAGTATAAACAACTTCATGTTCTCTCCAAAACTGATCCCTTTGGAAATTCTGGATCAGGTGCGCTGAAACCTCAAAACTTTCGCATGCGCTTCCGCTTCAGCAGCGACGTTGCTCGTCGTCCCCATTACTGCTCTCTCGAAGCAATCTTTACAGCGCGTTTCATGCAGCAAAGCGATACAGTCTCCAAGATCCTGAAGGTTACCAGACCGGTCTGAAACTTCCCTTGCCGAATCGATGAATCCTCTTACGGCCTAGGACAGGGCCGGTCATGGTGTCGTACTTCGCACACCGCTTAATCAGCACGAAATCGGGATCGCGAAGCTCAGGCCTGAATCGACCTATTCATTCTGGTTTCATTAGATCGGTCGTCTTCGGCGGCGACGAGGCGGACAATTTGCGGCAATTCGTCTCAATTATCAATCGGGCGGGCGGGCGGCCATCCGGTAAGGTAGTCGGCCGATACGACGGCGGGTGGGGAAGAAAGTATGTGCAATGTCGACACGAGCGCCCACTACGGTGAGTCGGCGTGGTTTGTGGACAACATAGGCTGTGGTGAAGGTCGGGCGAAAAAGGAGAAAGCGTTTGTTGAATTGCAAACTGTGCTTTGCGTGAGTGGTGAGAAGTGGGATCCCGGGTTCGAGTAGAATGCCAAGATCGGCAACAATGGACGAGGCGGGTCTAGGCGCCGACGTCCGCGCCCATTAGGCGCCGTGCCCCAGTTCAATACGAAGTCTCATGCACCCATGAAAGCGTGCTACTTGAATGATACTCATCCCCTTAGCCTACTGTATTTGAGGGACAACACAGTCTTTCGCTTGAGGAGTTGATATTTCGACCCTTCCCAGCAAGTTCGCACACGTTGAAAAGCCAGTGCAGGATTTCAGCGATCCGGCAGGGTGGCAGCACCGCGTAGAGCAAATTATAGAATTATAGCAACCGAAGGCCGATCATTTGAGCAAACCTTCGCCGCGGTTGCGTCTACATCGCCAACGCCCGCCACCCTCCATGTCGATGACCTGGTCAACATTTATTCAAAAATGTGCATCTCGCATCATTACCGAATGCTCGCATTCTTTTCCCTCTCGCTTGCCTGCCAGTCGACACCGAATCTACTGCCGTTTCCCTTCCACACACTATTGGTGGCGGGAACGTGTTTGGTGTAGTCTAGCGACCGGAGAGCATGGGTTATGCTCATTATCAACCCTTCTATGGCCGGTCTTGCAATTCGCCGACAACCCGCCGACAACCCGCCCGATGTTACTCCAACTCCATTGTGAGGATCATTCCACTTCCGTTGAGGATGCCTGTCTTTTGGTCGATAAGTCGTACGTGGATGTCTGCCTCTCGGGCTTAGACAGAGGAAATGATACGTCTGTCAAACGATCAGACCAGAACAGTGGGACCAAAGCTGTGGAGGATCTCGGTGGACTCTAAAACCGACAAGACCACGCAACATGTCACGAGTTATGGCACACAGCAATGGGCATACGGAGTGTGGTAAAGTGGCCTAACCTATCAAAGTAGAAATAGACAAAAGAGAAAGGTCTATATGCAGGATGTAAGTGAGATACACGTGATACAGCACGTGACAGGCACTTTGTGGATTGCGGTCCCTATCCTTGTTACGTGACACAACACCTCGTCTACTTCTCGTTTCTCCCAAGGTAGTTCGCCGTGGCTTTTCGAGACAGTGGCCAAGAAACACAGAACGGATAGTGCATCACTTCTTAGACTCCGAGACGAGGAAATGGCTACTGTCATCACAGAGCAGTCTGAGAAAGTCGTAGTACTCCATAGTGATCACAGAAATCGGGTGCCGGCAACCCGGCCACCTATACGCTTGGTCGACTTTGTCAAATCGCCGAGCCTTCGTCAGCCGGCCTTTACATCGTTTGCCGCTAGGAGCTTCAGGGTACCGCTGTGGCTGAAGTGGACAAGTTCATGCCGACAAAAGCCACGGCTTGATGAGAAGTGCGATGAATTGGAAAAGACAAGCGCTTTTCCTCCAGTGTTTACACCATATAAGTTTCACGCCATCGCCGAACTCCACAAGGTAGTTTGCTCGCAGACTTGTCTAATGGCCAGCAGCCAAACATGGTATTAATACTGGCCTTTGACGGCCGTCTAGGCTTGATGATTCTCCCGCATCTTCCCTCAAGCCCGGGTCACCGCAAACCATCCTCTTTCACACCAACCGATGTCCACGCAATATTTTGGCAGTCTTCATCTGCCCTGAGGTATCTCCACAACAAGAAGGCTCACCATAACGACATTGAGCCGGCAAACATCACCTATTCGCCTTCCCGCGGTGTCACGTTGATAAATTTCGGGCTAGCCACAAACGCTGATGAACAGATGATGACGGGAGGTACTCCATGGTATGTCCCGCCTGACCTCATAACGGAACGGCATCGAGACGCGCTGGGGGGATATATGGGCACTAGGGGTCACTATGCTCTTCGTATTAGGACGATTACCCCTTCCGGAGAAAACGACGAAAGTTTGGCTTATCCGCGCTGTGGTAGAACAAAGGAGGTGATGCTCGGGGACAGACGATAGCATGGCTCAAAATTATCGACGAACCAGAAAGACGCTGCATCATGACGATCTTATCGAGAGACCCGTGTCTCGGATGTTACAGCCGGAGCGAAGTCTGCGAATTCGGTCCAAGCCGATTGTCGACGCGTTCCAAGTGCCACCGAGAGGATTGTTGCAATACACCTAGCTGTCTAACACTCACTGAATTCGAATTCATCACACTTGTCAAAATTCTTCCCTCGCGGACAAAAGAGTAATGTGAAATCAAACAAAAGTAGGCATATCAGAGAGAAGATGTCCTAGTTATCAGGCCCCTCCGTCCATCCATCCATGAGACTCACCAAAGATGCGTTGGCCAGTTGTTCACCCATTGCCCGGGTAAGTCAAAGACTGGCTGGCTCTTAGCTCATCTCAACGTCCCGACCATGGAAAACTAGGCACCTGCACTCAATCAGAGCTTTTAGCTCAGAAAGATCGAAATAGAATCGAATACAATGGTCAATCTACTAGCTGACCATCTATGTGAGTCTGCTGGGATTAGGTGGAACTCCTTTCACTCGTCCTACGGTTTTATTGGCCCAGGACTGAGGGCATAAACACTTCGGAGCAACCACTCAAGGGAGTGTTGAAGCCATCGTACTGTACCGTATGCCATTGCCGTTCTAGTCTGGGTCTACTTTCCGAGATGATTTTGCCAGTATTCCCAGTATTTCCCGCCCTTCAACGCCAAGAGTTCATCATGACTGCCTCTCTGTAGGATGGATCCTTTCTTTCCGAGGACGATAATCTCCTCTGCACCCATGATTGAGGAAAATCGGTGCCTGTTGTTGTTAGGGTGGGACGGACTATTATGGAGCGTAAGGTCGCTTACCCCGTAAAGAACACAGTCATTTCTCCAAATTCTTCCGAAAAACTTTTCTTGATGAGGCTTTCAGTGATTGCATCCTGAAAGCTGGTACCTTCATCCACCAAAACAATTCTTGGCCTTCGTAGTAACAGCCGCGCAATTGACAACCGCTGGCCCTGCCCTCCAGAGAAGTTCCTAGACAAGTCAGCTTGCACCATACCGTTGGCATGTGATTCATACCTTCCATCAACCCCGCAAGGGGTTTCATAGCCCATCTCTCGTCTGGAAATGTCATCGTGTATATGCGCTTTCTTGCAGGCGTCTTCGATCTCACCCATCGTGGCTTCTCGTTTCCCAATGAGGATATTCTCTTTAACGGTAGTATTATAGATGTGGGGTCTTTGTTCAAGAATACCTATATGGTCCGGGATCCTGGCGTTGTGTTAGCTGGAGGTAACGTTTGAAGCTTTGGGTGACTTACGAGTGGCGGTCGATCTCTCTAAGATCCTGGCCGTCCACTAGAACCTTACCACTATCAGGTTCAATTTGACCTGCTATCAGACCGAGTATCGTTGATTTTCCCACACCTGAAGGCCCAACAAGGGCCACTTTCTTTTTCGACGGAATCTCCAGGTTGAAGCAATCGAGCACCACCTGGCCACCAAGGCTAACACTGACATCCCGTAACTCTATTCTACCCTCTATGGACCTTAATCGATTGACTAGCCTCTTCGAGTCCATGTCCATGATTCCCGCTACTTCAGCAGCGTCCTGTAAGTTCTTCATAATCCCTTCCAGGCCCTGTAACAGCAACGTTGCCGGAGTCGTAATCTGTTCCCAATGCAAATTGAAGACTGCAAGGTCTCCTGGGGTCGACGTCCCAAGAAAAACCTGCGCACAAACGACCAACACGCTGATCACGTGTCCGGCGTCTTCGGCCATGATTCTGTAAGCCCAACATGTGAGCGCCTCCCTTTGAAACTGGGATACTGATCGGTGAAGGCGCTCGACACTTTTGTCGTTCTCGGCAATCTGATGCGCGAGCTGGCCAAAGACAGCCGCCGTCCTCCAGCCTCTGATTTTGTCCTCTCGATGCTCCTTGTGGAATTTCTGAGTAGCCAACAATTGCCCATTGGCGCGATGAGATCTTGCTGTCCCTCGTCTGAAGTTGATGAACAGCACAATCAGACGTATGGCCATGACGGCCATTACGTGTCGTCCGAACTTACGTGCTGCAGCCGGAATAGTGACGCACGTTGCAAACAAAGCATCGACAGAGGCCTCTACGAGAGCGTCAAAGGATGACCTAACGCCTTGCGCATTGTCCACTGCATTGTGTAGCCTCGCCGGGTTGTTCAGCGTATGGAAAGTGGCATCCGCGCTCATGATTTTGGCAAAAATAGCTTTGTCTAAATTTTCTTCGCTATAGGCACGCAGTAGGAGCCACATCCACTGTTTCGGCACGCGTACCAAGAGCACGCAAAACCGCGAGATGGCCCACGTCACCAGAAGCATGCTTCCGGGAGACCATACATCGCTATCTGCGAGGGCATCGATGATTCGACCAAAGGTTTGCGAAGCCCAATGCTCGAGTCCCTTGCGGCCCAGAGTCAGCATCACGATGAAGAGAAGACGCACTTTCATCGGGGCATTGTCACTTGGCCAGATAAACCGCTTGAAGGTACGAAACGAGTCCGTCCATCGTCCCAGATCGAACCTTATTCCGTGGATATTCTCGATATTGCCCTTGCCGGGCATAGTGCTCTGGGTTTTGCTCTGAGCTGGAGGTGTCTGACTGCTCCCTTTTCCGGGCCGAATGGAATAGTGCAGAATGGCGTAGAGAACGAGCATCCAGGAAGCTAGAAACAGACTCAGGCATGATGAAGCGCTGGATTCTCGTGCCATAACGAGCTGCGCAATGTCGATACATTCTCTGATCAACCCTAAGTACCAAGCCCATCGATAGGGTGCCCAGAGACGGGTCGAGTCGTCGTAGAGCCTGTCTACCTGGAAAACCCCTGAGGCCGCGAAGAGAACAGCGCACCAGACAGGAACACTGTCGGTATCTCGTCTCATGATAGATAAAGCCAACAAATGCAACATGTTGATCCATGTTATCGCCAGTTGCGCGCAGGAGGTCCGAAGAAAGAGTGCCGGAGGCGAGATACGGTGCTCCGGTGTTAAGGGCGCTATCAGTGAGAGTACAGCAGCCAGGAGTGAGCATGAAAGCCGCGCATGGTTGAGCATAATATGAGACATTTTTGTGATGGTGTGAGCAGATAGAAAGGAGGTATAGATCGAGTAAGAGGGATTGTTCTGAGTGAAGTAGCAGTATCTGGACATGCAGACTTCAGTTGGGTAGCCAAGGATAAACACGAGCGCCTCAAACTGTGAGCCTGATTCGCGTCCGAGGCATCGGAACGCGTCTAGTCCGACAGGCAAGGTTCTTTGCTTGCCATACACAATTCTCCTGGCTACCGTGACGGAGGAAGAGTGGGCGAATGCAACTATCGACTGGTGCTGCAACGTGCCAACACCTGGTGATCGGCGTGGTATCAGCGGCGATAGCCTTCGTTGGCAGGTGCTCTGAGAATGGCCTTGGGTTTGCCGTGGGTCATTATTATGCACGAGTGAGCTTTAGGTGGTGTTCTGCGGCGTACGTAGACCCCGGACTGAAATCATGTACGTATATCGAGTGTGTGTTGTGGCGCATTGAGACTCGGCTGCGTAGTCCAGGGGAAAGTGGTGACGATACTCGGCAATCCAAAGCCACCGGCCCGGCTCCCTCTCAATTTCTTGTCATGCAAACGTCCCTGGACTCCATCGGACAGGTCTTTGCCTTCGTTCAGGCGGCTGGGCTACTCCATCAACCTGATCAACTGTTCGTGTTTCGACGAAGCCTTTGGTGGTTTGACTGCCCTTTCGTGGAAAGGTTCGTTTCTGGTACTCTTAATCAGGTTACTGGTGGGCTCCTATATGCGCATCTCAGACACAACGCGTTGGACTGGTTGGTATGTCAGACGATGGCCACGGCTAGACGCCATCGTAGATTTCTGCTTTGCGCCGGGCTGAACTTCCCGTGTCAACGTTAGACTACCACTTTCTCGCTGAACTCTCGAAGGAGACAAGAGCGCAGGGCCGGTTCCTTGGATCCTCCCGTCGTGTGGAGGCTGCCATGGCGGATACGGTCTAAGAAGGACCTTTCCAGGAGACGCTTCATATTCCGGACGTACAGGTGTTCGTCGGATGCCCCGCGATTGGACAAAATAAGCCATGGACAACACCGGACACGACCCGAAAAGATACCGCCAATTCCTCCTTGAAAGAAAGGAGGTTATCCTTGTTCTTGTCGTCCGTCGGCGAAGGACAAGGCTCCAACGGCCGGCCTACAGACCCTGGCACGTTGCGACAAATCCGCTGCGGCTCGTCTGCAGCCCACCCAATGAGGAACGTAGCATGCACACTGGCGCGATTCCAACAGTCACCAGGAATACGCTGATCAGATGAAGAGGGGTGGGTGTACGGGAAGAGGGGGCGTCAGAGGAGACCACTCGCAGTGACGAAAAAGTACTTGACAGGGATCGCGGTCATGGACCCGGAAGCAGGGGGGCAAGGTCAGAGGCAGCAGGCCAAGGCGAGTCGGGGCGTGAGGTACCCAGCGGAGCACTTACGCTATGTTGCAGTGTTAGCCGAGAGATGTATCGTCTACAAGACCAGCGAGTCACAGCCTGCAGCCCTGCGGGGATTATCCTCTAAGAAGGCGGAAAGCTCAAGGCCTGTTCCAGCCGCGTATCCAGCCGCATATCCAGTAGTGTAGTATGGCGGGGAAGATCTCCGTGTCTATTATCGAAAATCCGGTCTCTGCAGATCGTCCGAGACCGACTCCACCTTAGTAGCACGCCTGCCTCAGCTATTGATTCGTCCCGAACGGGCTAGCACGGCGTCACACAGCAATGTTGGCATCTTTGCGAAGTATGTGGTTGCCGTCTCCAGGAGACAGATTTGCAAAGCGAGGCGAGCTACGACCTCGGTGACCTGAGCATGCTGCTAAGACCTGTCCGACCAAGGGGGTGACGCGAGGTATCTCTACATGGCTTCCAGATGGACTGTCCCTGGTGGGATACAACCTTGACGAGCGGCCTGAGGACGAGCCCCATTGGTGCTGCTGATCAAACGTTGTCGACCCGGCTTGAAGTCAAAGACTACATGGCCATGCTTTTTACCGCCCTACGGAACATCGCAGCAGCACCGCGGCGCCAGGCTCAGAGCCTAGAACCATTCTCGGCTTGCACTGATCCCTGCTCTCACTCAAAGTGAAGTCGACGGCCATCGTCACCCACGGCGTCTTTGACGACTACTCTGCCTTCGGACGCCTCTCGTATCAGACCGCGATCACTATAGGTATCTCCTAGCCCTACGCCCACGACGCTCGCGCTTCCGTCACTCTCAACTTGAGTGTCACCGCTCCGGCTGATACCTCAACTCTCAGTTGGGAAGTGCTCAAAGACGAACCGATATCATGGAGGCATATTCGAGAGGCGATGAGACGGCAGATCCTCCTAGTATCTTGGAACAATCAAGCCTAGAACGCTCAGGGAGATTCGTCCCTGGCATTAATTCTTTTTCTGTCACCACTTCCGGTTCTGGAGACGTGATGAACGCATCGCGGCCCTTACCACTACCACAACTCCCCTTCGGCAATCTTTACGCGTATCACCAAGAGCCCGGACAACCACAACCCTATTGCAATCCATACAGCCTCAGGGAGTACAGTTATCGTGACAGCTTAGGAGGTTCGCATTACAGTTCACCATACACGAAGCCCGCTTATAGGAATGATGAGGGTTATCTCGGCACAGGTTCGTCTTCAGCTTCGGCTTCAACAAGGTTCGAGACGCTAACTTTCCTTTGTTGCCTCATTTGGTTCCAAGAAATGGTGAAGCTCTTAGAATATCGAGAGCTGGTGCCCATCTGACTATTCTGCTTCCATAGACCTAACTACCACCTGCCCAGCATCTCGGCCGGGTTTGGTCTGCACCATAACCAGTTCCAGCTCCATTCTAGCGCCGACGCCTTCTTTGATGTGGAGAATAAGCTTCCGCTTGTGAAAAGGTTCGATACTAAGGGGCCTGGTCCACACCTTAATGCGTCAAGCACATCGTCAACTAGCGACACCTTCTCGAAGCTGTCCGACGACGTTCGCGTCCCGCCACTTTCCGTGCCCACCAGTCTGTCGTTGCACCTCAAAATGTCGAACCTCCTAGATACGCAGACTCCCAGCTCTGCCCTCTCAGAGCCAGCCATTGCATCTCGGTCAGGAATATCACTCGCCGCCAGCTCGAGAAGGAACAACAGCGACAATGCCTTACCGCACAACCACGAGGCGTATGAGATGGAGATGAAGGAGAACAACCCTGCGAAGAGATTGCAGATAGAGGACCCCATGAGGGCGCACTACGACGGTACTAGGGCGAAGCGCCGTACATCTATGAATCCTCATAACACCGTATCACTTGCCGTCACACTTCCAAGTGACTCGCTACATCGCCACGACAAAAGCCAAAGAAGATCACCTACGCGTCAACTAAGCGTCATTCCTCAACAATCGGCCTTTTCAGTGCCGTCGTGTTGCACGGCGTCTCACAGCTCGGATTCACACCTGCATACGAGGAGCATTGCCAGCAAAGGTTTGTCATATGGCCAAATTTCTCCAGGCGAACCGTCTCCGGGAGCCATTTCGTCCGGCAGAAATGATGCAATGATGTCATTGAACGCCTCGCTTCGCGGTTCCATTCCCAGAGTAACCTACCAGCGGACCACTAGCAATGACAGGCCTCCAGCTTCTCCGCGCAAGCCCACAGAAGCGAGCAAGCCTGATGAGCACAAGATCTTGGGGGGATTCTTCTTATGCGACTGTTGCCCGAAGAAACCCAAGAAATTCACTTCGGCCGCGGAATTAGCGTCAGTAAAAAGCTTTCAGACATTGCGAGATCATTTGATCATGAGCTGATTATGTGCAGGTCTCATGAAGCCGAAAAGCAGTATGAGTGTTCGTTCTGCGGAAATCGATTCAAGAACAAGAACGAGGCCGAACGCCATCAAAAGAGTCTTCATGTTCGGGACAAAAGTTGGAGTTGCTCGGCTCTGAATGACTATGATCAAGCTTTCCACGATAGTAAGGATCGCCCCGGTGAAGCAGACTCTTGTGGTTACTGCGGTGAGGAGTTTCTCAGAAATGGGAGAGGTTCAGGGGATCCCGCCTCGCATCGCGGCACTGAGCAGGACTGGGATAAGCGTGTCCGCCATCTTCAAGAAATCCACAAGTTCCGAGAGTGTAACATGAGCAAGAAATTCTTCCGTGCGGACCATTTCCGTCAGCACCTTAAACACAGCCACGCAGGCACAAGCGGTACATGGACGAATGCGCTAGAGAACGCCTGCATACTGATAGAGGACTCAGCTGCGAGATGAACCTAGATGTCCCAGGCGTGACTTATCAACAAGAACTAGCTAGAAACTATCATTACATTCACACGGTCATACACCGGATTCAAAACCTCGGGACATAGAACCGCGACTTGGTGTCGACGCGCCCAGCTCATACGTCTGCCCATGGCGGAACGATCAAGGCTAAGCTCTAATTTTTCTTGTCGGCTTATAGGCATCACAAGTTTCAAGAGCGTTCTGTTGAGGCATGCGGGCGGTATTCACAAGTTTAATGTGCTGGCCGGTTGACATCCATGTCTAAGACACCGACTGGTCTCCATTGGGGGCTTCTAATATGAGTTTAACATAATCACCGAAGGAATCGACGGCACGGCCGGGTGCGAACGGCTGCTATTTTTGGGACGAACTTTTTGATTACCAACAACAGTTCGATGATACTAGGCAATAGTCCTCGTTGGAAAGAATTTCGCTCACAGACACGATTGTCTGCCCTAACCGTCCATACTGTTCTGGGCTCGCTTCCCATACGGACCTGCAAGCTCTCGGGCCTGACCCGCGCCCCACACCGGAACTGCATTTCGCTGACCTCCTCTGCACTACCTTACCTTCCGGCCGGGTCAGCATTATCGTCCGAACCCACCGCGCGGTTCGGACCGGGAGTAACAGGAACCACCCCCCCCCCCCTTTCCCAACGCACATATACGAAAAAGGCAAGTTGCACAAACCGCACAAACCGCACGCTGGCATTTGGTGACGATCACACGTCCGTCTGATGAGACAGCAGAATTCCATTCAACAAGATTAAACAATCTTAAGCTCGGGAGACGTAAAAGGGGGGGAAAGAAAAAGAAAAGAAAAAAAAGTGTGCGTGGTACAAAGATATAACCCAGAAGCCAGGTGAGAGACTGGAAAGCAGCTTCTTACCGGGCCGGTGTGAGGGAGCGGAAAAAAAAAAGAAGTGGGAGTTTGATGGAGTTTTCCGTAAGCCCAATAGCCTACCTTAGACACACTAAAGGTACCAGAAAACAAAAGGTCTCAGGATTCGAGTGATCCCACATCAACCACGGCTTCCCGGAGCGCCGGTCTACGTGGCTTTTTCCCTTTGTGTAAATAACGTTGCCGGCGCATGATTACTTTTTTCTCCACCTCGGGAGTCGGGGGGACTGAGTGACTGACATCGGTAGTCGTCGTCAACATGAATCGTAGAGTACAACACACACTCGAGAGTATTCCCAGCCGGCCGAGCCTTCAACAAATAGCGCCGCATGCGAGCAAGGTGAGATGCAAAATCCATTTAAGAAAAAAAAAGGCCGGCTGGTCGGCGCGTCATCGAGAGAGCCCCTAAACATCGACGCCGCAACCTTCTCAACTCTGGATTCTGTGTGGCTGGCTAGAGCTCGGGGGTGTTCTCTAGTGGGCTAGAACTAGGTACCTTACGGGCCTTCCTACCCTCCAAGGGTTAGGTCGGGGTTGGCGGATGGATTGGAATGCACTCCCTTTCGATCAACTTTTGTGCAAAAAGGCTGTGCAACGCAAGGCAACGCAACCACCGTGCCACCCACCACCAAACGCAACGCATACCTGGGAATCGGTCAACCTTCATTCAGAAAACCAGTTCAAGACATTGTTCCAAGGCCGAAACATGTTAGGAGCAGCGGACATGGCCGACGTCTTACAGACCTCTTTGACTGACATTTGACCCTGACGTTACCTGACAAGACTGACTTGACTTGTTCCTCCTTTTTTGACTCGAACTCAAATCAAGTTTCGACTCGAACTCGACTACTGACACGCTTCCCCCAAGTGAACGAAAAACTGCAAGCAAGAAAAAACGAGGAAATTGCGTGGCGCGGACGTGACGAGAACGTGGCTCAACGTCCGCGGCAGGCAGCGCCAAGGGAGAGGACTCCCGTCAGTTGACTTTTGTCATGTGTTAGTGTTGGTCTTGTCGGAGCCCTTCCCTCATGTAGCGCAACTAATTGCATCGCGCAACAAATCTTCGTAAATATGGTGATGATTATCTTTTTCTTTTGTCTAACGCTCTCTCATGCTGATTATGCCCGGTCGACATTTTGCTGTGACTGTTCGCTCCGCGGTGGGGAGGAATCGTCATAGCTTCATACCCAAGATTATAACGCACTCGTAAGTTGTGTCTGAAAATCCCACACGCGCTTAAATGTAGTTCCCTGACACAACGTTCCCATACATCATCTCCATGTAACCATGTCTCGGGTTGGGGGCCTAGAAGCCTGTTCCACCTGCTCATCTGACCCCTTCAAGAATAACTCCCGCTGAACTGGGGCAACGGGTTGCCACCGGCCATCTGCGTATAGAAGAGGGGCTTGAGCATGTCTCAGTCACCGATATTGGGCGCGCAGACCATCCCGCCCGTCGTAAATTTCTGAATGTCCTCAAGCATGGTGCCGAATCGCTGACCCTGGTTCTGCTGTACATAAGTATCGATACTGGCTGTCTCGGCATTGAGATTAGCCATCGCGGCCTTGTTTGGCAGGGAGCTGGGAGTTGGCGGGAAGTCCTGAGTTGGTGAGCGATGTGGACTGCCTCCCGAAGAGCCTTCGTGGCTGGCTTGCTGGTGAAATGCGACAGCGTTGATGGCGGTAAATGACGACGCTTGACGAGAATCCCTTCGGCTGTCCGAACCGCTCCCACCCAAATGGGAATACTCATGTCCAAGGGAAGGGCTCTTTTCCAGTGTGCTAGCCCGCGATCCATCAGAGCCGTCGTACGCTGTTGGCCGGTTGTCGTCCATGATGATGCAGTTGCTCGTAATCTTGTCGTCCTTTGCCCTCCACTCTTCCAGTCCGCCGCCACCTCCACCCAGTCGAATGGTAAGCGAACCATCCCCGCTCTTTTTCGAATCTCGATTTGTGTAGTGTGAGTAGACCTTGGTGAGATGCTGATCAACGTCCTTGAAATACGTGACGTAGTTGGAGGCCATGCTGAAGTAGGGTGCAACCTTGGTCAATGCTTGGAAGGCGATACCGGTGTTCCCCGTCTGCGTGTTCTCAGACATGGCTCCTGAATTCCGTTCTTCGATCTCCTGTTTGCTGACCATGTGGTTTTGAGTATCCATGTGGGGATAGTGCCGTGCGTATGTTCCAACAAACGCTGCTTGCCAAATTGCGAATATGACTAGTGACGAATGAGGAAGCTTGTCTCGGCATGTCGAGATGAGGTCGATGATTTCCCTTCCAGCCTCGAAAACCTGCTCTGCGCTGCGCTCCCAGAAGTGGTCGGGAACAGCTTCGGGGTCAAAGACGGGCTCGTCCAGAGGACCAACCGGCTCGGAACATTTGATGGCGAAGAACGGGATGTATTCGCGATGCAGCATGATTTTGCATAGGGCACCTAGCATGTGAAGTGACACATACATGCTGTTGTCGTGTTTCCAGAAGTTCGAGCTAGACCAGGTGAACTCTTCCTGAAGGTGAGCGTAAAAGGCATCTACCTTCTTATTCAATTGATAGAAAGTCGACTCTTGGTCGGCGGCCGCCCGCGAAACTGTACTTGGTGATATCGCCCCAGAAATCTGCTAGTTGCACGAATCGACTCAGGACACTGTCATCGATTGGTGGCTCCATTCCATGTCCCACCTGTCGTAAGAATCCGGTATAGACAACGCGGCCTACGTCGAAGGCGTGTTCAGTGCATGGCAGCTGGATTTGAAGATCGTCGGACCGAACCATAGAAACCCGATCAGATCCGCAGGATAGGAGACAATCCAGTATCAAGCAACTGAACATGGTACGACGCCTGATCTCCTGGTCTTTCCAAAAGTCGGAGGGTAGTTGGGCAGACTTACTTGACCGAGGAGACAAGGCCAGAGTTCTCTTGCCGCCCAAAGGCTTGTCTTCAAACCCCAATTTCAAGCCTTGAGCCATCTGTATGGCAACGCCAACGTACATCCATGCAGCCAAGCCGCCATTCGGCTGACTCCATTTGTACAAGCTGAGCATGAGAAAAGCTTGAACACGGACGACAGTAGCTGATGTCAAGGCTGATTCGAGTTCTCCCAGTGCCTTTGTCAGAGCGTTTGCGAAGTACTCTGAGGCTATTGACGGCTCCGAACTGGGTGGAATACCGCGAGGGTTGGGATCCGCGACTTTTTCGTGTGTGATATGCGCCAAATATCTAATCAAGTCGGGATGAAATCTCGCAGTAAGAGCCAGAATACCCGTTAGGATCAGATTTGATTCGTTTGACAGCTTCTTGATGTCTTTGTCGTGAATGATGCCCTTGAGAGTTGGGAGATGCAAAAACGGGAGTTCGGTAGCGAAGTGCAGCTTATATATGTCGAAGAGTTGATGCCACAAGTCGACGGTAAGATAGGGTGCCGAAAGCACTTCCTGAGCAAGCGCGGCGATAGTACGTCCATCAGAGGACGTTGCATCTTCGAGCTTCTTCACTCGCTTCCGGGCATGCCCGATCTCCCTTACCTGCCTCGGCGCAGTCGGCGGCTTTGATCGTTTCGCCGGAAGAGGCGTTGAATCAGGAAACTCGCACTTATGTGCTGCCTTGATGCATGTGTCACAAGGTGATCCAGTGTTGTCGTTGTCGCATTTGGTTTTGGATTTCCTGCATCTCAAACAAGCTATGCTAGATCTCATTGGCGGCTTCATAGCTCTAGAGGGTCTTTGAGCACTTGAGCCTCTCGCCGAGGTCGCCTTCGAGTCATCGCCGTCGGGCACGATGGAACCCTGAGGTATGGCTATTTCTGGAGCTTGCTTGCCTGCCGGCTTTGCTACGGCGAGAGTTGTAGAGGTATTCCCCTGTCGGTTAAAGGGTTTGTAACATCTTTCCTTTAGCGTGGCCTGAGTAGGAAGCGCTGTGAGTGCGTCATCGGAGTCCGAAGCAGGAGAGAGCAAAGACTGAATGCGAAGTTGGGAAGAAATTGTAACGGTTCGGGTCTGTTGTGGACCCGTGGAGCCAGCAAGGGGAGCAGACGACTGGGCGCATGAATGATAGAGATGGTAAGATACGCAGAGCTGGAGGACGATGGCCACTATCTGTCGAGGCAAAGCTCAAAGTATTTCAGATAGCACAGTCAAGTGAACACTGGCTGCTGATAGGACGCAACGGACAGGTGGTTGCTTCGAGTGATACACAATGAGTTTCTAAGCGATATTAGGATTTCCAGAGGGCCAAAGGGACTGCAGCTGAACAAACGTCTTCTTTTTACTTCTGGAGATGAAGAGCACAAGCTCTAGCGATAGTAGTTGGCGCCAAGAAGTCGACGTCGATCATTTATGTGGGGATGAAGAGAGTTGACCTGCTGGAAATTTCTAAGGGCAAAACGAAATAACCAAGGATGTGGGATCGGAAACTCAAAGGAAGTGGAGTGTGGCTTTCTAAACACTAGCAATTATTCTGACGCTTACGTGCCCGCGACACAGGCTGGGGAGGGTGGGAACGTGGTTTGTTATTAACCACTGTGCCGTCGGCCTCCGGATTGAGTGTATGCCCATCCTTAATGGCTATCGCTGCTTGCTCACCCTTCTTTGCCTGTTCTCCCTCGTTTTTAGCCAGGGATCCTGTGGAATGTTTTGGCTCTCGGTGGACATGATCGATGATGTGGTTTCAGGAAGGTAAAGCTGTTGTGAGCGAGGATGTCTCCACAGCCCAACACACATCTAGCCGGCCTCTTCCGCTTCTCAGCTACTGACACCCCCTGGTATCGGCTTTTTTTTTTTTTTTTTTAAAAGAGCCTGGGATCAGGATGTTCTTATGACTTTCCCGACGCCTTCGTCCAGGGCGCTGGATGATATATCTTCCCCTTTCACATTCTCCTACGATTTCCGACATGAACACGCAGTCAAAAACACCTATCCTCGCCAATAGTGGAGCATATAAAAGCTTTGAGGGACCGTTTGGGCTTTACCATCGTGGTTCAGCCTAAGGAGGTGCCGTACTTTACTTCGACGAGTTGGCCGAGGAGAAACACTGGCTTGGGCCTAAAGATCACGATTACGGTGGTCGACAGGTCTGAATGAGTGATAAGGCATGTGTCACCGAGGAGCCTCAAGTTCTATATAATGGCAATCTAACGCTATATCAACTCCCCGTCCAAGACGTATTACATTAGGAGTAGACACTGTCAGATCGGCTTTGACACACGAGATAATCGTATCAATTTTCCGCAATAAACCGTGATAGTGATTGAATGAGTCAGGAAGGAAAGAATACAGAAAAGGATGGGAGACAAACTCTTAAGTCAATGCAATCAGTTTGCTTTCTATCTTTCCGAAATGACCGCCCCCTCCCTCTGTAGATATCAGCCCATACAACAGGTATGCCTGAATGGTTCACTGACACCGGAAGAGGGTCGAATGACGGTGAGCGTCAGGCTTGACGCTCTAACTTTATCCACATTTAACTGTCCCAACAATCCCATATCCTCGTCTTGAAACGCCCGCTTGACACAGCTCACGTCTTCATCGACTTTAGTAGGTGCATCAATCATGCAACCCTCCATGACGGCACTTTCCCTGCAGATTCGTATTGCCTCGTCAGAATTCCATATGTCTATTTGAGATTGAGCACCGGGGTAGGCCTTAACAGCGGAGTTACGGTGGAGGTATAGTTGCTCCTGCGCAGTGTTATGAATCAGGCATGCCAGGTTCAATGGTGAGCCGCCAAAGATAATCAGTGTACTTTGTCACAGCTATTGAAGTCCGGTGCTGAGGTGAGCTTTGTAAGGCCACCAGAATCTTCAACATGGCTAGAGCCTGAAGTTTCTCCAGGTATGGGTCACTGTACTTCGAGGTATTTGCGCCAGCGTCGCAACTCTGTTGTTTGCTCACCAAGTCGGCTGAGGGCACCAGATCACGAGCTATTTCGGACCCAAGGAAATTTGTCAGGTCGCGCACGTGATGTGGTTGGATAAGGGCAGAGTAGTAGGCACCCAAGCAGCACATGCCCACCAACAAGCCAGTGTAGGCATCCACGATACAGAACGCGGATGTATGGAGAATAGGCCATCTGACACTGACTTCAGTGTACTTTTTCAGTAGGGTGCGAACATTCCCAGCGGAGAAGTACCGGTTGAAGTTGGTGCGTTTGTTGGTTATCGGGGAATCTGTAGAATAGAGGAAGCTGAGGATCCGGTCGGAAAGGAGTGCAAAAGGATCTTCGATCGATTGCGGCACGTTCCAGGTCGAAAAGAAAAGGGAATCGCGGTGTTCCAAGGGCCCAGAGGGTCCACTTGAGCACTGGACGCCAGTAGTAGGGACCGGGTCGGGTGCGATCAGTGTCTGTACGGGACGACCAAGAGAAGATTGAGTATGATTTTCACGGGCCTGTTGCGACCCAGCCTGGCGGATCCGAGTCCGATCAAGGTTTGATAGCTGGTCTGAGTTGGGCTCGCCATTCGGAAACATCTTATCTTTACGCGAAGTCATGTTGTCACCTCGTTCATACAAGTGGCCGCCCGTGTCTACAGATCAACTTTGTCAGCAAGGCAATAAAATGCGCGGCTTAGCGAGTCATTACTCACGGCGTACAGGGTGACTCTTCTGGCGCTTCGCTTGCGAGTAGGTTTTGTCGTAGTGAGGGTCAGGGATCTTGCTGTCAGCTTTGACTGGTATCACAGTGCTCTTGGTGTTGCCAGTGCCAGCAGGAGTAGCGGCAAGTCCGCCAGAAGCGCCGGTGAGAGGTCCACGGCGACTAGAAGAGACGATGACGTGTTTAGTCTGATCGACATCATCCATACCACCGGACATGACACAGCCAGTGCCGCGGGCAGAGGTCATCCCAGACCGAGGCCTGGCAACATTAGCGGGCATAGAATGCAGAACAGAAGAAACATGTCCAGACGCCGGGGCAGGCGCGATGGGCTGAAGGTGAGAAGTGCCCATCGTGGTCAGGGGCAGCATGGACTGAGTGTCGTACGTCTGGAGCAGGGGAGGGCGCTCGCCTATGTGCTGGTAAGGATTGTGAGGCGGCTGCTGCTGATGCTGGAACGGCATCATGTCGGTCTGGGAATCCGGCGTGCTGGGAGTCGCGGAAGTGCTAGGAGTGTGGGGGTTACTGCGGTTCATCGGGTCTATGGCGGCGAGGGTCTGCGGCTGCAGAGGCGTCAGAGTCTGGTGAGGCAGCAGACGTTTGATTTGCTGAGGTTGACAAGGTATGATGGCGGGACGCGACGGGTAAAAGACAGAGTTCGTGTCTATACCATCGGTAAGGTACTGAGAAGCGTCCATGCTATCCGCAGTAGGCCTGTCGGATTTTTGTCGAGACAAAGCTCCGCAGCACAGCTTGCTTGCTGTGAGATCAAGACGCGTTCTTACGTCTTTACGGGATCGTTGGAAGTGTCGTGTAATACTGAGCGACGAAAATAGTCACGTCGTTGATCCAGTTGAAGATGTCGCTGCCAGGTGGAAAGCAAGATATGCTCCAGGTATCTGGTGAAGCCCAGTTGGGAACTTATTCAGGATAGGCTTTTTGTCAGACGAAGGGCGGATGTTCTGTGATGATGAAATAAGGCTACAGTTAACCCCGTGAGAAGTTCTTCCAGGAAGGACTGGGAAAAGAACTTATATGGACGGATGCTTCTTGGTTCCACAATTCTCTTCGCGGTTTTCTTCGCGCAGAAAAAAGGCTGCCAAGTGTCTGATAAGGGGGATTATGAAGCGTGTGCTTGAGAAAGGAAACCTCGACCTTGCTAGGGTGGTGTCGGAGATATATGGTGAAGGAATTATCGAGGGATGGCCAATCCAGCACTAGCCCGAGAACCAGATCTCGGTCCGTACAGTGTGCCCGGTAGCGGATCTGCCCTCCTGGCGTCCAATGGGCGCACAGAGGTTTCTGCGGACAGCACAGGCCAACAAGACAAGGATGACAGAGTGGTTTCCGGATTGGTGACCGGAACAAATAACTGAAGCTCCCATCACCGACGAAAAGCGTAGATGTTTCATCGGGTGTTCTGTTGGATGGAGTCTAAGGCGGGCTGCTCGCACTGCTCAGCGGATGGCGGAGAACGGCGTACCGGCGCAGGGGACGACGAGTACCTGACTGTGACGACCAGCCACCTTGGTTCGTCGCCATACGACGCTAGCGTGAGACAAACCATACCCAGCAGGAGATGAGTCTGGGGGTCGAAGCTTCCCTGCACAGATGGGCGTGGGCGCGAATGATGGTGGTGGTAACACCGTGCAAACACCCACCCCCTTGGCCTTCTTTCCAGGGCAGGGACACTAACACGACTGGTGTCGGCCTATTACTCCACCTATCTAACAAGGGCCTAGTATGAAGCACGAATGGCCTTCCAGACAGCGCTACTTCCTAGCGCGCGGATCATTGGCCATGGCGACGACACATCAAATTGGCGAGCGCGCTGAGGTGACAAGCACGATGAGCAAGACTCGGGGTTGATGGTAACGGCCAGCTGGGCATGACAGCCATGCAGATAAGAGGTGTTGCCCGTTCTCTTGTCTTCCTAGGCTCCGATGGAACCCCGCCGACGCACGATCATCAGCCCTTCGGCCAGTTGGTCATCTGCCAGGGTCTAACAACCAGCTAGGCGCGGATGCTTCTGCGGAGCTGCTGCTCCCAAGCGGTAGAGCTGGCACTGCCTTGCGCAACATGTGTCTTTAGGTGCGATGCGTGGAATCACTGCAGACGATCACCCTGTTAATGAATCCACCCATGTCGGATGCCCTTGAGGGATATAGCGAGGCACCCAACACATGCAAACCATCAAGTTGCCTGACAATGCCACTCCTACCAATAATGACCAATTGACGGGACATGCCGCTGGGGGCACAAGTGGCCGCGCCACTACTCAGATGCGCGATAGCCTTGCAGAGTTCTTGGCTGTCCCGAATACCTGCCCAGTCCGCGACTCTTGCTCCTCGTCGCGGTTCATCGAAAAGACTGCAGTCATGTTCGTAGCTATTCTGGCTCTGTGCGTTTCGATTACGACCCTTGTATGGGCTCTGCTCAGGATAATTGCTAAGATGGTCAAATGCGTGAGCGCAACTCAGGTACTTCCATTTGCAAACCTGTCTGGACACAGATTCAAGACAGACCATGCTGATCTGCTCCCAGAGTACATTGGCTGTTCGCGCTACCTGCATGGTCATCTTCGGAGGCGTGGTGCTGGCGTCGTCAATGCATTTGACGACTTAGTGTCCCTCATACCACCGATCCATCCGCGTGCTCACCCTCGCTGGCGGTGCGCTTGTTCCACGCCTCCTTTCGCGATGTTCAAGACCACTCAGAATATCAAGGCTCGGTGCGAAGGAGGACCACTTCGATCCTGTCCTCGCTGTCTTGCGCTACTGTAGCAGTGGTGGCCGGCATCTCGAACATTTCTGACCTGTCCATGGTGTGGTCTCCTTTATCTTCTCAGAACGGCTGGCTAAGAGAAAGGTCAGCCTGTGCTTTCCAGCGCCGAGATCGTATCTTTGGTCATATTGCAGGGCATTCGGGCTGCGTCGAATTTGACACCGCAGCAACAAAGGCATGTCTGTTAGCCAAGATAGCAGTCAATCAAATCAGTCAAGCCCCGGTCTTGATAACCATATTCCCGCATACTAGTCCGCCTGATCCCAGGTCAAAATCCGTCTTCAAGCCTGCTTGCTGTCCCAGCCATGTCGTCGAAGACGGCAACGAAAACGCATCCCATGTCATGAATCATGCTCGTACACGAATAGGTCTCAGACTGTTTCTGCAGAACTCATCGAGCAGTCCTTTCTTCACTTTCAGCGGCTAAGAAACCTGGTGTCCGTGGTATATAGCGATGCGGACGGCTCCCGGCCTGCTCTCCAACAATTGTTATAGGGGGGTGCCGCGGCCGTCCGCACCCTATAAACCGAGTTTTGCCGCTATTTCGCCTAGAAAGAAGAATGTTTGGCGTCCTCCAGCCACGCAGGAAATATCGACATCGCGAGTCGAGCGGCAATTGATGGTTCGCGGGACCTGGCCTCCAAAGCACGACCAATTATCGTCAGGGGTGGTAATCCAAAACCATTTCTGAGAGATATTGGTGATGCGCTCCCCAGATAGGAACTTGTAAGAGAATTACTTGAATCAGTCCAGGAGATTTTCGAACGCTCTGGGCCATTCAGGCGAGCAAAATCACGATCAGCTCTGTGAGAATAGAATAAGAGATTGTTGCTACACTGACTAATTACTGGCTCTGCCGCGTGTTGTGAGTCGAACGATGCACGCAGTCCTAAACTATATCTGCCGCAGAAGTCTTGGATGTTGTTGTTGTTGTTGTTGTTGTTGTTGTATTTAACGCCGTGGCGGCCGGGCTAGAGCCCTTACCGCAGACCTCCCGAAGGGTATATGGCGTGGAGGGCCGTGAGCCAAGGCTACCTACTCTACAGTACGTCGTCTCTTTACATCGTCCTCCAAATCATGCCTTGTGGCCACTACGCGTTCTGTCTGTCCCCGGTTCCCGCTGGTGCCCCAGTTTCATTCTTTCCCAAATCGTCCCTTGGAATCGGGAGGTTCTTTGTAGTCCGCACTCACATCTACCTAGGTGTGGATGCTGCTACCGCAGACAGATCTTCTGGAAGAAGTCCGTCACGCGGAGAAAGGCCTCGAAGCCTCGTGGGTCGGTGATTAATCTCTTGAAGTAGGCCTCGAGAGATCCCATAGGACCTATGGGCTCGGGCATACTGCGAGAGTGGAGGGTCGGCCACCGTTGCCTCCTCGCCAGCGTTAGTCGACAGTAGACCAGGTGGTCCACGTCTTTCGCCTCTCCACAAGAGCACATCATTAGAGCGTCGTCGTGGTTGAAACGTCGGTGATATTGCTCGAAGTCCCCGTGACCCGATCGTGCCGCCAGCAGGTGATGTAACGTAGCCCGCGGCAAGGCCAGTTCAGGAGGGCTGGACAGAGCTGCCTCAAGCCCCAAGTCCGCGTACCGCGGCCTTCGCTCTTTATACCACCATCTCCTGTGCTGGCTTTGTAATTTTTCCCTTGCAAGCCGCTTGATGCCCGCTAGTGTTGCCATTTGACCCATCCGCGCCGGCAGTGTCGTTCCTTCTTTGGCCAGCCGGTCCGCGGCCTCGTTTCCTTCGATGCCCTGGTGTCCCGGGGACCAGTGCGTCCGTATATCAAATATCCTGGCCGCTTCTTGGATTTCGAGGAACGCGTCTTGTGACGAGTCCGGCGCCTTGCCGCGGATGCCTTGTATAACGCTGGTGTTGTCGATACATATGTGGATTGGATGACCGCGATTGGTGAGCAGAGCCCTTCTGAGGCCGGTTCGCGCCCCTTCGACCTCGGCGTCGAACACTTCTGCTAGTCCGAGTCGGCCGCACCCTTGCGCTATGCGTTTGGAGTCTCGGTAGATGACGAAGCCGTACCCCACGGCTCCGTTCGTCGCCCTGGAGCCGTCCGAGAAGACGATCATATGGCTTTCCGGTACTGTCTTTAGCCAGCGCTCGAAAGCTTTCGCAGCCTCTTCTTTGCATTGAACTACTATCTGATCCTGTGAGCTTGGCAGGTACTGTGATTGGAGGAACGTTGGTCTTCCGCATCTTGGCAGAAGTTCAGCCGTCCGTTGTAGTCTCGTCTGTTGCTGTCCCTGCTGGGAGAGCCGCGCGACTAGCGGGTGTCGGCGATCAATCCTCTGTAGTCGGACTGCGGCCCGTAAACGGACGCCTTCTAAGGCGACTTTGGCTGACGGTAAGCCGGCGTCTCGGAGGAGGCTACTGGTTGGCGTTGTCCTCCAGACAGGTAGAACGATCCTTGCTGCCGCTGTAATG